ATTTTTATATAATTTCTAAATTTTATACTTTTATGATAATATTCTGAATAAGGAACGTTTTGATATAATTTCCATATTCAAATTAATTTCATATTAAAAAATATCATTAGTTAAAGTTGATTGTCATTGACCTAGAAAAGTCAATTTGGCGAACCTTTTCGAGACGGAGGGAGTATAAAGTTTGAGGTATTTAAATTACATATATAAGTTCAGGGTGTTTATCTCACAGCCTTCAAAGCTTGGGGTGTTTTTATTATTTTTCCTATATTTGATTCGATCCGATTCATTTACAGGCAGGGGCGGATTGAGCTTAGGGCCAGGGAGGGCCCAAACCCGTGTTTTTTAACTAGTATATAGGTTTAAAAATCAGGCCGAGTATCAAGTTTTAAAAAATTAGGCCCAGTCCAAATTATAAGTCCAAACACCCGCAGGGCACGAGTCTAGCAGTCTGCTTCTTTCTTTCTGCTTCGGCGACTTCCGCAAAACCCCAAAGGCCAAAAACGTATTCCGGACGGCCATCTTCAGTCGCTGCCGGACGGCCACTCGTCCAGGACGGTGCACGGTGGCTCAGGCAGTCAGGCTCTCAGCACTCGGAATCTCGGACGGGACCATCTTCAGTCGCTGCCGGACGGCCACTCGGCCAGGACGGCGCACGGTGGCTCAGGCAGTCAGGCGCTCAGCACTCGGAGTCTCGGACGGCGCAGTGAGAGGTATTCCTGAGAAGTGAGAACTGCTGCGGACCTGCGCTGTGCACTGCTGCCTTACCTGCGTAAGTCCTAAGTGCTTAAGAAGTTAAGAGGTATTTTTTGAATCTTTTAATTTTATTATTTATTGAATTCAAGTTAAACACTAAATTACATCTTTGCTTGATATGAATTCGATTATTATTTGTAAACTTGTAAATTGTAATCATCATTTATAGTATGAATTTGTTTGTGACTTGTTCTTATTAATCTAATTATTAAGTCAATAAAGGTAATGAAGAGATACTATAACCCTGTTGAATAAAAAGCTAATGGAAGTAGCTCATCCAAAATTGTAGTGTCGTCAACTACAATTCAAGAAAACTCAACAACAAATGACGAACAAAACAACATAAATATCCTACAACCAGTCACCGCTATTGAGTTTGATTCTTCCCAACTTCCATCTGACCTTGGATTGAGAAGGACTTGGTGAGCTTGCAGAGAAGTTGGTAGAAACTAAGAAGCACAAGGTGTTTCCTTTAGTTTACAAGTTGTTGACATTGGCATTGATTCTTCCTGTTGCAATCGCTAGTATTGAAAGAGTATTTTCAACAATGAATATCGTGAAAGATAGGTTGAGCAACCAGATGAGTGATGACCGGCTGATTGATAGACTTATTGTTTATGTAGAAAAAGACATCTTGAAAATTGACAATGATGTTATTATCAAACGATATCAATCGATCAAAACCCGGAGAGAACCGTTGTAAAATTATGGTGTTTTTGTATTTGAATTTAATGAAAACTCTTATTCCTATAATCTTTATTTTTGTCTTTGATTTTGTTGCTAGAATAAATGTTTTTTTGAATATTCATTTTTAATTAAATTTTTGCCTCACCTGGATACCAAACTAGATCCGCCCCTGTTTACAGCCCTATTCCCGGCTATAGTGACCACCACCAGCTAGTGACCAGCCAACCACAATGACCTTCGCCACCCGGTGATCACTACAGGGCGTCGGTCAGTTATTGTTACAATTTCCATCCATTTATACAGTTACTCTTCCCACCCTCAGCCTCTTGCCGCTGCTCCCCACCAGCCATTGCCCCTCCCCACCACTGCCCTAAGCCCCTACACATACCCCTGCCTCGGGGTGGCCGCTGCCCAACCGCTTTCCTTTGCCCTTTCCCTCACTCTGGCTCGTGCCCCGCTCGCCCCTTGTTGCTGCTCCACACTGACCGAGACTTCTCCTGGCCCATCCCTACCATTCCCTCGCCCCCTGCTGCTCCAGGTGAACGCTAACTGCACAGTCTCCACTATCAAATCAAAGCAGTAATCTTTGTGCCACCACCGTCCCCAATCCGAAAACCCTAGCAACCGGGAACCTATTCTAACTCAGATTTGAAGTCGTGGAGCAAGACTGAGGTAGGCGGAGGTGACTGACTGAGGTGGACGAAGGTGGTTCACGGTGGCGGGCAGCGGAGGACACCGATGAAGTGGGCGGAGGAGGAGACTAATGGAAGCAGGCTGCGGAGGCAGCTATCCGTGGATGGAAGAAGAACAGTTGATTCAGATGGGGAGAAACGGGTAGATTTAGAATTTCTTTTTTATTTATCAAGAGTAGTTTGCGGTGGTTTGGGCATGTGCATAGAAGACCGAGTGATGCACCTGTTAGACGACTTGAGGGGTGGGGAGAAGAGTCAGAGAAGAGAGGGAGGAGAAGACCCAAACAGACTTGGATTAGAGTAATCAGAACTGATATGCGTCTTCTTGGGTTGGATGAGAGTATGGCTTTGGAGAGAGCAAAGTGGAGGGCGCACATTCATGTGGACGATTGATGTCTTGTCTACCTTTCTCCTCTTGTTTCTTATATCGTTTATCTATTAAACATTTTTCTCAAAATATATACTTGAATTACCTTATTCAAATATTGTTTGAATAATTGTGCCGTTTTACAATGGAAACTGTTACACGGGACAAAGGTAGTAGTTAACTTAATTGTTTGTAGAATACAATTGACCTCATTTAAAAAATTAACAATCCTATTTATCACTATCTCTATTTTTTTTAAGTAATTGTAACATGTTAGAATTTTACATTATTCACATGTTCTACTTTATTACAATTACAATTTATTCATTAATGTATAATATTAGAAGTTTATTTTTTGAGAAATAATGTTAAATTCTTCTCATTGTAAATTTTAAAAAATCATTTTTTTTTAATTTTTTACTAATAAGAAGTAAAATATATTATTAATCACAATTGTGTGTTGACAAGTGTGAAAGTTAAACTATTGCAACTAATAAAGAACGGGGGATAGTACTCCGTATATTGTAATTAAAAGATATGGAGTACTATTCTATATTGCAAAATATGGACATTGCTAATATTACTTTATTTGTAATTTTTAAATCATAGGATGTACCAAGTTTATTTTACGGACAAATATGTAAAATGCATTTAGAATTTTTTTAACTCGTCTGGTTTCAATTTCATTCCCGAATAGATTTCAAAAATAAGAACACAGACTAAACTAAAACTGATCAGGACAAATTAGATCATACTTTAACAATAATAAAATTCATATCCATCAGTCATGTATCCGATCAGACTTAAACAGATCAGACAAGAATTATTTTTCGTAAAGATTAAATTTGTAACCATTATGTTCTGCTGATAACTTCTTTTATATATGTAATATAGTGTCATATTAAAGATTAAAAAAGTTATTTAATTTGATACGATTTCCATAAAGATCCAATAACAAATGATAAAGATATGACACTTTACAAATAAAAAAACAATTGTTAGGCACATGGTATACTACATGGGAAGCAATGTTCTAAAAGGCGAGCCTAGGCGCCGCAAAAGCGGGCCTAAGCGTGAGGCGTCAGTCAAAAACCTCGCCTACCCATTAGGCGCGGAAAAGGCGGATCCAATTTCTCCAGCCTTTAAAGTTCGACCCACGTATTGCCCGTTGAGGCTACGAACGAATTGCATATGATTGCGGTAGGGAGACGAGTAAGTTATAGAGCTTGGGGAAGAGGAATGCATCTATCCCACCGGTGTGGGATAGTTAATGGAAACAAAGAAAACAAAATACTGAGCTTGGGGAAGAGGAATGCATCGCTTATTACAAATTCTTGAAGCTTTTATTAATCTTATTATAGCTTATACGTAATATGCTAAACAAGTACATCCTATATGGTACTATCTATTACTCATTAATATCATAATACTTATGTTGCAATTCTTATTATTATTGCTATTGTGTTTCATTGTTATCATTATCAACAATCCTACCATTGTCATTTAGAGTTTTTATTTCTAATAATATTACTAATATAATTTATAGATGAAAAATATCATTAAAGTGACTGTAAATGTATTCTTACATTCACTACAATGAAAAGTTAAATGTTATTATAATCACTAAAAGTTACGAAGTCACATTTTAACTATCGTACTTATTTTAGTCAATGTATTAGGTTTTTTTTAACATTAATATTTTATCATTAAACTACTTTTTCAGTACTAGTTTTTTATAATTGGTAAAATTATACCTTATTTTTATTAGATTTAGGAAGAGACGTCTTTTTTTTTATCATCAAAACAAACCGCTTTATATTAAAATCATAGGGAGGGGACTGCCCATCTAAAAATGCGATAAATCTTCAAGGCGGCAATTCAGGAGGGGAGCGGACCGTCCATCTGTCTTCTCCTTTGCTCAGTCCTTCACCCTCTACCCATGTTGATTCGTCAGAAATTAACCCTTCGATCTCCTTCTCAATTGCAGGAATGAGACAACACTGCTCTAAATCATTCATAGAAGACATGATTATCGTTTCTTCAACCTTGGATTTGTTTCCAAAGGTTGCAGTCACACTCACGCCTCCTTAAAAAACACTCTAAAATAGAAAAGTGTAGTCTTTTTTGTTAAAAATAGAAAAGTGTGATGTTTTTGAATATCATTATTTAATATTATATTTACATATTTAAAATAGCTCTAAAAAATTAAAATAAATGATAAAAAACAAAACGCCTTTTCACGCCTTAACCCCGCCTATGCCCGCCTAGGCTCCAAAGGCTTAAGGCTTGAGCATCCCGCCTCAGCCCGCCTCAGCCCGCCTCACGCCTTTTAGAACATTGTATGGGAGGCGTATTTTGTGTGAAGCATAAGAGCACTCTTAATTTAAATTTAAATTGAAGTATATATTCAAAAGGGTAAAGTGGTCTACTAGAGTTACATTAAGTAATTATTATATGGGTGCGCGAAGTAACACCCATACAATTTTATAAACCTTGACCAGGTTATACTGCTGACCTATACGTAACCTAGCAGCTCTGCCGGAGTGCCGGGTCGCTTGCCGGATATATCCTACGGAGACGGAGTATTGTTTTTGCTAAGGCTTCAGATCTGGGATTATCCTGAGGGAATTTACCATTGTTGTATCAATATTATCACTGGTACTGCGAGCTTAAGATTTCTACATGCGTCTCAGCTCTATCAATTAATCAATGGCGGTGAAGGAGAAATCACGAATTCAAAAAGTAGCAGAAGAGGTAAAAGAAGAACAAAGTCCAGAAAAGGAGCTGCAAAATGCGCAGTCTTCAAAAGAGGAAGAGGAAGGGGAAGAGGAAGAAGAGCAGACCTTCGAAGAGTTGGGTCTGGACCCTCGCCTTATCCGTGCCTTAACTAAGAGAAACATTGACAAGCCCACTCCCATCCAGCGCGTTGCTATTCCTCTCATTCTCGTATGCCATTTTCCTATTCAATTTCTTGTAATTCTTCAGTTTATAGTTGGTTGCTCTATGTGTCGACTGACTTTCATTTTGATGGTTATTACAGGAAGGTAAAGATGTGGTTGCTCGAGCAAAGACTGGTTCTGGTAAGACCTTTGCCTACCTTCTTCCTCTGCTTCATAAGCTCTTCTCCATTTTGCCTTCCAAGAAGAACTCTGCTCCCTCTGCTATCATTCTTGTCCCAACTCGGGAACTCTGCCAGCAAGTATGAATTGTACTTTATTGCCCACAGCTGCGATCTTTTGGGTATCTGAAGTTTTTATACTATGTAATGTTGAAACTTTTAATATGTTACCACATACTACTACTGATTTTCAGGTTTATTCGGAGGCTACATCTTTAGTTGAATTGTGTAAAGCGCAATTAAAAGTTGTCCAGTTGACAAGCACCATGTCCACTTCTGACTTGGTGGGTTTAGTTGAATTGTGTAGAGAGTTTATTATAGTTAGTTGATTATGAAATATTAAAAGAGGTGACTTCGTGAATTTTGGCCTGCAGAAAACCACTTTTGCCGGGTCTCCTGAAATTCTTATATCTACACCAGCTTGCATTAAGACATGCTTTTCAAACAGAGTTCTTCAAGCAGAAGCTCTTCAATATTCCCTCTCCATTCTAGTACTTGATGAGGTGAGTGAAGTCCTTAGCTTTATGTCATTATTATGTGTATTTACAAACATTTGCCATTCATTTTGTAGTGAACTAGTTATACACATACAGAGCGTATATGCTTTAACCTAACTTTGGCATTTTCAAAATACTCATTGAATGCATAGTGGTTGGTTTTCTTCTTTCTGTTTAGGCCGATCTTCTTTTGTCATATGGTTATGAAGATGATCTAAAAGCTCTTACATCTTACATCCCCAAGCGCTGCCAATCCCTTCTCATGTCTGCTACTTCAAGGTATGTCCTGCCATTTTATGTTCATGTTATGCATATTATCTTTTGAATTTAAAAGCTTCTAATTTTATTATGGTCTAAATTTTACAGAGTTGATTTTAGCAGTTTGTGCTCACACATAAATTAAATAGTGTATTTTATTTTGATCATATCTAAATTTCAAAGGATTGATATTAATTCAGTTTTCATGTCAATATAATTGCAGTGAAGATGTTGATAAGCTGAAGAAGCTTATATTACATAATCCCTGCATCTTAACGTTATCTGAAGTTGGTAACCTTAAGGATGATGTGATTCCCAAGAATGTCCAGCAATTTTCTGTAAGAAATTTTGTGTCATTAGCATAACTAAACTTCCTTATTTAGACCTTCCATCCCAATTTCTTTTTGTCCCATTTCGGATTACGGGGTTAACTGAAGTTGAAGTTAACTCTTTTCTGATAATATTTAAATACAATAACATCAACATCCAAGCCTTAGTCCCAAAAGATTTTGGGGTCGGCTAACATGAATCGATATTAAATAAGTGTTAATAATTAAAACTTACATATTTAGAAATTACACTATAACTTCTATTGAATCACAAAAACTGAATTTTAATATGATAAGTATTTGATACACAAAGTCAAAGAATAAAATGGAACTTTGTTGACCGAGAATAGTGAAAATGACAAACAAATTGGGACGAAGTTGTATCTTTTGACACCGCGATATCATTATCACTTCTTTCTACTGTCTTTTTAGATTTCTTGCAGTTCTAGTGACAAGTTTGTGCAGATCCTTGCCCTCCTGAAGTTTGAGCTAGTTCAGAAAAGAATTCTAATATTTACAAATTCTATTGACATGAGTTTCAGACTGAAATTATTCTTTGAACAGGTATACTGTCCACTTGTATACTTTGATGCATCCGGAGTTGCTATTATTTTTCCATGAGATTCCAAATTTGCAGCATCCTACTCTTAGTTACCTAATGCTTTGAAGTTCACAGATCTAATCATTTTGTTGTTGAACACTTACCAACAGTTTGGGATTAAGGCTGCAGTTTTAAATGCTGAGCTTCCTCAAAATTCACGCTTACACATTCTTGAGGTATACTACTCAGTTGTTTCAATCTTAACTTCTTACAGAATCATTATTTCACTTCTGATATCTATAGTATTCTCAAATTTTTATGTACTAATCACTTTTGTTGCTTTTTCTAAATTAGGAATTTAATGCTGGACTTTTTGATTATTTGATTGCAACTGATGGTGGCAATGCGGAAGGAACAGATCCAACAGATGGTAGAAGTCACAACGAGAATATGAAACATAAAAAGCATCCAAAGAAAAAATTGGATTCAGAATTTGGGGTAGTGAGAGGAATAGACTTCAAAAATGTGCACACTGTAAGTGTCTTTTTAGCAATATTCCAAACTCCAACTGTAACTTACTCGTTTCAGTTTTCTGATGGCAAAACTCATTACACACAGACTCCGCCTAGTTCCCAGTTGACTTTTTGAATCAAATTTTATTAACTTTGTTTGACTTGTCAAAAGCAAAACAGCCAATCTTTGAGCATTATGGTTTGCTATTATATGCTCTTACTGTTTTTGAAACATATATAGAATTAATATTTTGACATTATTAATTAAAAGAAATTGATCAATAATACTCCCTTTGTTCAGTTTTGATATATACTTGCTCCCTTTTACTTTTATGAAAGTTTATAGTACTTGCTTCATTGCTATTTTGGCACCCTTTCTACCATTTGATCTCTCAAACAACTTACCATCACTCTTTCATCTCATCTCTTCAACTCCCTACATTTTCATTTCATATTTGTAAGTATCCCTACAACTTAGTTCTTTGGTTCTGTAATAATCCTATCAAGCTACTGAAAGTGAACAGAGAAAGTCTACGTTATGAGAAACCAATGGTAAATTTGATCTAAATACATTGAAAAGTGAAGACATGAAGTTAAGTGATAATTTTACACTGCTTCAACAGGTAATAAATTTTGAGATGCCCAGAACAGCTGAAGGGTATGTGCATCGTGTTGGTCGTACTGGGAGAGCATATAACACTGGTGCATCTGTCTCCCTTGTAAGTATTTGAGGAGATATGAAATGCAAAATCAAACATTCCAGAATCTTTTGCTTTTCTCACCATTTTTTAGATTTCTGAAATTTAATGTGTTACCAGATTATCTAATTAGCACAACTCGCAGGAAATTTTAAATTCAAACTTATTTTGATTTCATGGATTTTGTTTTTACTTTTATTTCTGTGAAACAGGTTTCTCCAGAAGACGCAGAAATTTTACAAGAGGTTAGATCTTTGTTAGGGGAAAATGTTGACAGCGACTCAAACTTCATTGCTCCCTTCCCATTACTCACTAAGAATGCAGTAGAGTCATTGCGATATAGAGCCGAGGTAAATGATAGTTCTTCTTTCCTTTTCATTGTAAGTCTAAGATGTAATTTCTCATATTCCTGTTTCATAATCTGCATTGATCCAAATTTAAATGTTAAAGATATGCACATCTTACTGCTAGGTTGCTTTGATTTGTACTTGTGCTTTTTCTTTTTGTTCTGCCCAGAGACATAAATGCACATTTGTCACAGTATTCAACCAAGCATATTTTTACAGATTGCATAGCTTTTGAGCTCTCAAAGCCATAAGGCATCAGAAATAGATCTGTTTTTCCAAGTGTGCAAACTGTACAATAGCTGTGATCTTCAGTATTGCTATTGATATCTTATAAAAGTGGCAACATTGCAGGATGTGGCAAGGAGTGTTACTAAAATTGCCATAAAAGAAGCACGCGCACAGGATCTGAGGAATGAAATTTTGAATTCTCAAAAGTTAGTAGTCTCTCCATGCATTTTCATTTCATTGTTATTATCGTTTTCTTTCTCTCAAAAATGATTAGGTGCCATTCTAAAATTGTATGGAGTAGAAATTTCATCACTTAGAACAACTATCTGATTTCCCCATCATATCAGGTGTACAAATGCAAGATTAAGGATGTTTTTACTTGGACTGTAATTTGTCCCAGACCAGACTTACACAGACCAGACTTAGCTTTCGTAGTTATAAAATACACAAAGACCAGACGACGTTTACCAGACCAGTTCAGACCAGACTAGGCCAGACCAGCAAATTACAATCCAAGTAAAAACATCCTAACTTCTACTATTTTGATTATTTGGTGATCCTAATTCTCTTCAGGTTGAAGGCCCATTTTCAAGAGAATCCTCAGGACTTAGGTACAAAACTTGTTGTGCTTCTTGGAGATTTTTCAAAAGGTGTAACAATTTTGCTGACTTTGATTTTTTTGTTTATTTATGATATGGCAAGATCTTTTAAAACATGACAAAACCCTTAGTAAGAAGGCCCCTGCTCCTCATCTCCGTAGTGTGCCAGACTACCTAATTGACCCAACGACACAGGAAGCTAGCAAGATTGTAAAACTCGCTAGAGCTGCAATGGGGAATGATAATGCTCCTCGGCGCAAAGGGTTTACTGGGAAATTTAAAAGATCCAGGGACCCTCTTCGAACATTTTCCGCTGAGGTATATAGTTTCAAACTCAGATTCATTTATTTTCGTTCTTTCATCACCTTACAATTCATAGTTGGTGTGAAAATAAGATGCATCTATTATCATTTCTGATTCATCTCAGGGACCAAAGCGAGCGTCAAAAGGCCGGACAAAGAGAAAGCAGAATGATACTGATTTTGGGCATAAAAATAAAAAGGGAAAGTCTAATATATTTGATTAAGTTATAACTGTTTCTTGCTACACATCATAGACAAAATTTTGTAACTTGTAAAAGCAGTGGGATCATAGGTACAGGATTTGGTGAACAAGTAATCATAACTTGCACACAGGTTTCTTTTTCCTGCATAATTAGGCCTTGCATTTCTCTTCACAAATACTCACGAAAATGAGACCAAGTCATGTTTGGGAGTGTATTGGTATTTTAGGTGGTGTTAAAATAGCATCTTCATTCAAATATACCTCAAACAATGTCCAAGGTGGTGCTTAGTGACATTGCTAGTGTAAATGTTTGGACGTCGGAAAATGTCAAGTTTCAATGATTTTTTTTACTATGGGAGTTTAAAATAAAAATGGAGTATGATCACATAGATGTGTGTGTCCACCTGCCAGTTCTTCACCGTCTTCAACTTTCTGTTGAAAGTTGAGCTTGTCTGTTGAAAGTTGAGCTTGTCAAGTTGAGCCCGTTTGGTAGCACGAAAATCGGCTGCATTGGTTGATTTTGTTGATTTAAGAAAAAAAATACTGTTAAAATATATTTTATTAATAAAATAAAGAAAAAATTATATGTAAAAATAGATAAAATGGTCATCTACGGTAACTTCAGCCAATACAGCCAGAAAATTAACCTCAATCTTACTTTTTCTGCTTATTACACAATTCAACGCGCAAAAATAAAACTTACGTGTTTGATGAAAAAATTGGCTGATAAGCTGATAAACAGTGTTACCAAATGGCCTCGTCTATTTTTCATTATCCCTGCCTGGCTGTGTCTATGTAGGCAGTAGCATTTCACAAATAGCGCCATGCTTCTTAGCTGCTTAAGGCCTCAACACCAAGAGGCAAGAGGTGGATATGTTTTAAATTATAATGAACAACTTCACAAGCAATGGGAGGTTTGAGGAGATCGCTTATGAGTCACATGATAGTGATGAGATTTTTATATTGAGATTATACTGGACATTTATTTTTTTATGTTTCAATCTCAAACTAGATCATAAAGGACTTCAGGTATTTTAAATTGAAATTGATTTTATTTTATTTCCTTTTTAAAAGCAGAAGTAAAAAATCACTACAATTTTTCAGAACCTAGTATAGTATTCTTAACTTCAAAAAACCAACTTTGCTTGGTGTACAAAAGGTGTACACATTTGGTGTACACCACACATTTTTCTCAAAAAACTTGCTTCTAGAAGTAATTAGGACACTTATAGGTACTTTTTGCATTTTCCCGTAAACACTCCAACAGATTTAAGAATGAGATTAAAAAAACGTCAGACACTACTAAGAAGAATTAGATCAAACCAATAGTCCCTCCGTCCCATAAAATTCTTCCCACTTTGACTTGACATGGAGATTAAGAAAGTGGAATAAAGTGAAAATGTGTTGTTTTAGTTATGTAAAAAAAAGTGAAATGAATGTGAACCACACAAATTGTCCAAAAATGATAAGTGAGAAGAATTTTTTGGGACGACCCAAAAAGGAAAGTGAGAAGAATTTTATGGGACGGAGGGAGTATCATGTAACAAATAATACCTAATAATCTAATATATCATCAAGATACGAATAGTGAACACAAATTTGACTAGGTATTTTTAGTTACTATAATAATGTTGAAATTTTATATGGAGTATCATAGTAACTATAAAAGTATGTGTTGTCATTTTGGTCATATTTTTGTCCATAAGTTTTAGTTTAATACTCTCTTTGTCATAGCTACGCTTTCCATTGAGAAACGATGTGATTAATTAAATAATACGTAATAATTAAATATGGTAACTCAAGTTGTTTTCAGAAGTAACTTCGGAGAATTCCTTAGGTACGAGTAGTTTTGAAATTTCAAAATAGGACAAATATACATTTATTCTCTAAATAGGACTAACTAGGATTTTTTTTAACTTGATTGATGTTTTCTAGTTTAATCTGGTCTAAATTTGGTGCATGTATATTTTAGAACTTTCAAATTCTGGTCTAATATACTTAAATCTAGTTGGTCCGGTCTATTTAGATTTGATCTTGCCTGATATTGAAAATAACTAATCCAAATAAAAACGTTGTTATATTACATTTGATCTCAACACATGAATTTATATTATTTATTACTTAAAGCTTGATAGTACCAATACATTATATTTTTTATTTCTATCATGGAAAATAAATTGTATTTCCAAACATTAACTTTATATAGATACTCCCTTTGTTACATATTATAAGTTCAAATAGGGATGGACCCAACCGGTTCGACCCGGCCCGGAACCGGCCCGGCCCGCTACTGAGCGGGCCCGAACCGGCGCGGTTGGTGCTAACCGGGCTCGAGCTTTTACCCGGTTGGGGTGGGTTGGGCGAGCCGGGTTCGGGCCACTTTTTTCTTGAACCGGGCCTGGTCGGGCCAGGCCCGTTTTTTTGTTTTTTCATTTTTTTTTGTTTTTCTTGGTTAGGGTTGGGTGTTTTGGGGGGGGGGGGGGGGGTCAGGGGTTAATTAGAAAGCAAAAGAAAACATAGAACCGGGCCCGACCCGGACCGGCCCGGGCCCAGCCTGTACCCGATTTATCCCCGGGCCGGTTCCGGTTCACCCTTTCCTAAAAAAAAAAGCCCGCCCGGGCCCAGGCCCGGCCCGGGTCCACCCCTACGTTCAAATGGGATTTTTACTTAATTCAAGAAAATGTTTATATTGGTAAGAAAAGTGAACTTCTTAAGATTAATAGTGGTATACATTACTCATGTACTTAGTATTTACTAAATAAAAACGCATTCTTTTTATGTATTAATGATATGCATCCTCACTCATCCAAATGCTTACTACAAACAATTTTTTGGATTAAAATTTTATAAGTCATACTGTCATATTTTAGGTTTTAAAAATTATCAGAATTATTATAAAATTGTTTTTCAAGCGTAACATAATTTCTCCGTTTTTAGATAAAAAAAAGCATAATCTCATATTTTCAAATTTCGCATGACAATATTAGGAATAAAAATTGCTCTAAATAGGAGCAAAAACGTTTTGAAATTTCAAAATAGGAGTATCATATTTTTTATTCCCTCAATAGGAGTAATCTGTCAAGTTTGAAAAAATGTCATGTTTTAAAGTTTAGTAATGTCAAACTGGAAAAAATTTACTCCTATCAAGGAATAAAAAACATGATTCTCCTATTTTTGAATTTCAAAACTTTTTTACTCGAGAATTCTCTCATTAGGAAACCAGTGCTTATACTGTGGAACCGGTGCATGGTGAGCACCATGCATCCTTTGTTATTTTTATTTCTTCTTTTCTTAAAATTGTTAATAATTTTTATATTTTTGATCCGATATTTATAAAATTTATATCAATTTTTTTTATTTTTCATGATCCCTTTATTTCTTCTTTTCTTAAAATTGTTAATAATTTTTTTTTATTTTTGATCCGATATTTTTATTTTTTGACATTTTTTTGTAATATATTTTTATATGCATACACTTTTTCTATAATATATTTTTTATCACTTTTATATGTTTTTAGAGGTTTTTAAGATATTGAGTTTGTTTATTTTGCTTCTAGCTTGGAGTTACATTTGATATATACGAAGTTACATCATCTTATACTCTAGTTACAAGTTATTATGTGTGAGTCACATCTTGTTATGTGTGAGTTACATCTTGCTATACACGAGTTACATACTTTTATGCGCGAGTTACATGTAATTATGTGTGAGTTACATCTTGTTATACACGAGTTACATACTTTTATGCACGAGTTAAATGTGTGATACTTTCAAACTCTTGTCCAATTTTACACGTTGAACCGAAATTCAACAAATTTGGATTATACATTAAACTTCTCGAAATTTCTGTTTAAGGAAATTATAATATCCTATTTCTTCCGAGTTAATTAATGCCATTTAGAAGTTTATACAATGACTTGGGTGGGACATTGTTTTAAGAACTCCTTATTATCAGGGAAGACTTTTAGTTTGAAGATCAATTACTTCGTATATGATACAGTTCTCCATATAAAATCAATCAACTGGAAAATAAAAAACATTTCAACAATGATACACTACAGAATATAAGACTATTTTTTTGACAAAGAATATAAAACTATTAGAAAAATTGTAAATAATAATAAATAGTTTTTTCCAGTAGAATTAATGAAATGAAATTTATTTATAAAAACATGACAAATAGTTATTATCTATAATACTCCCTCCGTCCCGTTGTAATGTTCCCGCTTTCTTTTTTTGGATGTCCCGTTGGAAAGTTCCCATTTCCCTAAATGGAAAGTTATCATACATCAAAACAGGGTCAAACAGTGCAAAACAATGTCAAACAGTGTCGAAACAGTGCCAAACAGTGTCGAAACAACGTCGAAATAGTAAAATTTACCCCCTGGTAAGTTTATTTCCTTAATATGTGTGTAGGTCAAACCGGAACATTCCAACGGAACGGAGGGAGTATAATTTTACAGTCACTCAATTGTAAAAATTGAACATAAATTACTATAACTAATTTACTACTTTAGTCACTACTTTCAAGAGGTCACATTAGTGTAAACAACGTTAATTTTAGTTATATATATATAATTATATCTAATAAATAGTATTATTTGATCAGGAGAAATTTATCATGTATATTACTAAAAGATGATGGTGTTTCCAGTATATGATTAGTTGAGAATTTATCTCAATCTATGACCGCACATGCTAACGTCCAATCACGTGCTTTGATAATTTTTTTATTCACCATAGTGCCCTCCTAACATAGAATTAAACGCACGCCAGGAATCACGTAGCTTCATGACTGTATAAGTTGTAACCGTTTTGCACAACTGGCGCATTAACAATGTTAAGGAATCACGATAGGTTTCAATCACTTAGACCTCAATCTCCTAAAATTAAGGAATCAATTATTAGAAAAATTAATAGAAGGTAAGTCTTTACATAATTGTTGCTGCGTATCCCTCACCTATCATTACACGTTCTCCTTCAACGAACGTTGCTCTTCCTTTTTTGCTTAATCCGACTCTACTCCATCAATTCACGGCCAGTCTTCCATTGAAGTAATTCATGGATTCCGTCCCCGTAAGTTCCCCGGAAATGTGGATTATGATTGAATATGATGGCCAATGGATCTCAAATACTTTGTTCTCTAGTATTCATGTTGCCGGCTTAACTATACCTTCAAACTGTATGTACAATTCTCTATGTTCTCGTGTTTGCGCTATCGGGAAGAATATTAAGATCTCATATGTTTTTGCTGCGTGCCCACCTCCTGTGAATGTATGTGATGATGCTAGTCTACTCTTTTATTTACAATTGAAGAGTTTT